TATATATATATAATAATTATTATAGTATAGTAGTTATTATTTTTTTCATATATATTATTACTACTACTACTACTACTATATATATATATATATATATATATATATATATATATGTGAATATGCATATCCAATGTGCGTGTGTGTGTATATATTTGAAAAACAAATAAAAATGCAGCTAGGCATAATCTATAGAAAAAAAATACAAAGGAATGTGGTCTTTCACACAATATTTGTTATATAATCATCAAATATAATGTCAGTAGGTTATAGACTACTATTTTTAACAGTTTTACTCCCATCTATATTACAATATATTTAATTACATGAACTAGCTATAAACTGTATTTTGTTTTTATCTGTGTATTTTTTAAATTGTTTTTATAATCTTTCAGTTTCGTAGTACATATATTAAACCCATCAGAAAATGAGTGCAGAAGGGGGACTACAGATATAAAGTATTTAAGGAACTAATGTTACCTTCAATTTTTTCTTATATTTTTATGAATGAAATTTTCTAACTTTTCTTTCCCCATTTGTGCTTTTTATTTAGTAATACATATTGTCATTATAATTTCCGTTTAATACATGTTTATTATCTAGATTAGTATTTTAACTATTTTACATTAATAATTGTTTACATGTATATAAAATAATTAATATAAATTGTATTTAGTGATTAGATTCCATTATTTTATAATTTCTTTTCTTTAACTTAGTTCTTAATTATGTTCTTAACTTTAACGATTCAATATTGCTATGTCTGTCAACTTATATTATTTTAAATAATTACTGTTTGGAGGAGCTATGGTATAATGTGACGGAACAAAATTTGTGATGTGTTGTAAAGTGGTATCAAGTATCTGAGTTGAAGATATAAAGAGACTTTCAGGCCTAAAAAATTGTGACGAAATTACTTGTTGCAAAAAAAATATGGATTTTAAATGCTGTTCTTATACATCTCAGATTTAAATTTGTAAAAGAATAATTAAGAGGAATATGAGGGAAAAAAACACATGTAATCAGAGTTTAGTTTCACATTATATTTTATTCTGCAATTTATACTGAATTCTGTCTCCCTTTCTTTGTAATGTCTACTGGCTTGAACCTTGCCAATTGTTAACAGAAACATAAAATTTAAGGCTAGCAGGGCCATCCCATCCATAAAACTACACTTTAAAATAAAAATGCAACATTCAAAGCAAGCCCTTTCATTCAAATATTTAACAAGGCTTCACTTAAATTTCCCACATCCATCATGTCTGAAGATAACTCATTTCAAAGACCAACCAACCGGTAGCTTTGTCCTAGAAGGAAACAATTAGTTATGTGATCAAGTCATTTTAAATACCATGTCTATATTATTTATTTTTCCCAAATATTACTTATGTTCCATAACTAGCTGTTTTTTTCCTTTTGTTTTCTTAGATAATAAGAATGTGCATGTAATATACTTGTACATGTATGCAACTGTACTTGTTTATGTACATGGTATTTACAGTTTTCAAATTTTTGTTTTTAACTTGTTGTTTACTATCAATATACATTTTGGAGTTTCATTGATTACTCTTTGGCATATTCTGAAGAAAAAGTTGAAACTTCAGTTCTGATGAGATCCTGTATTTGGTGCATATTGTGGATACTTAATGCTGTGAATGAAAAAGTAACATCCATTCATCTAGAATACTTTGGAACCTTGAAATTGCACATTGAACTAAAAAGACAGGAAAAATTGAGAAATTGTGAAATAGTTTGGAAACTTTCTCATTGAAGTCAAAATTAAAAGCTATTGAATTATAAGGATCAGTCTACATGTATAATGGATTACTGGTGAGCACTTATTAATATTTAAATAACAAATGTTAGATGCAATGTGAGGATCATAATATCAACATTTGTTATCAGGTTTACATTTAATTATCCAGAGTTTTTCATGCTTGCATATTCATTTGTACTCAATTAAATGGAAACTTTTGATTTTTATAACAAAATTTCATTGAAACTGTGAATCTTGTACAGTATATATACTATACATATATACAATAACAAGAATCATCTAAGCAAAAAGTGATGATCTGAAATTTCTTAATTCTTCAAGTCTGGTTTGTTTATTTGTTATTTCACAGTCAGGAAATTAGAGCTGAACATTTCAAAGATTAATCTTATAGCAAAAACTTGGTTCTAATGTATTTACTAGACTTTGTATGCTGTTTGTATGCAGTCTGCTTCTGACAAAGGCTTTCATCTACTTGTGTTGTTTGATCTTATGCTGATTGAACTGGAACAATAAAAATGTTAGTTGAAAGAGTACTTACTATAGCTAAGAGATATGAATATAATATACAGATAGCAGGAGAACATTTGGTCTTTCAAGGCTGTCCTTGCACACCTACCCATAGAGGAAAGTAAATTTAAACCTATCCTTTATTTTTTAGGAAATCATGAATTCCCCTCTTAAGCTCCTGTAAACGTCACCCTCACTATTGCTGATGGCAACTCTTTCCATATTCTAATCACCCTGATAGAAAAATATAAGTGTCTTAAATGGAGTTTAGCTTGTATGTTCTAAATCTTAAACTTGTAACCTTTTGCTTTAGTCTTCAGAATATAGCAAAAAAAAATCAGAGACCATTACTCTATCAATTCCCTGTATAATTGTTTAATATTCAATGAGATCATATCTAACCTTTCTTTACTCAAGACAAAATAAGTGTAGAGATCTTAATATATCCCTATAAGAAACACTTTCTCATCCAAATAATTATCTTAGTAGTCCTCTGAACCCTTTTGAATAATTCAGTATCCTTTCCTACATAAGAAGACTATAACAGTATTGCAAGTGAGAGATAATCACCTCTTTTGACTTGTAACCAATATATCTATAGATACAGCCTAAGATTTTGTTAGCTTTACTACTTTGAATGGAACACTACCTCAATGACTTGGGTAATTTATCCACTGTTATGGCATGATCCTTTCTTCATGCTATGGAGTGGGTTCCCTCCTGTGTATTAATTGTCTTTTGCAAA